TTACAATAACATTATATCAGGTAATAAATCTTTCCTAAGCAGATTGAAAATAACTTTGTATGTTGCAAGTTTTAATTCAAAAATCTTTAAAGGGAACAACAGAGAGTCATGCAACATAGAAAAAGAGATAAAGCGATAAATAAATCTTTGTTAATCACAGGGAATAAAAAATGAGGTACAATACTATCTGCAAAATTTCAAAGCAGTTTTTTACTCAGTCGTAATTATCCTGAAAGAGCCCAGGTAACATTATTAATTTGTTTGCTACTTAAGTGTGATAAAATTTGGGATCTGAGCTGCCCATTGTGTACTGTGCACAGCCACAGATTTTATGTACTCAAGAAGACCTTTCTCACAGTCCAGAAATTAGGTGCTATTGACATTGTAATCTTTGTAAATGTCCTTAATGAGCCCCAAAGACACAAATCTCATAGATAAAACCTCAAAGTAACAGTGACTCTTTAAGTGGCTTGTCTGTGAGGGAAAGCGCAAACATAAATATCTTAAACACAGGAGGAACCCAAATTCAAACCTAGATTACATTGTGTTGTTAATTCTCTGAGATATTAGGGAAGAAACATCCAAGAGGTGATTTAAAGGCTTTTAAGGAATAGTAGGACAATCTCAATATATATGAAAGCATTTTAAATTCTTTCTTTTCATCCTTTGAAATTTTGGACCTGAAAATTTTTGCTTTGTTTTTACTAAGTGTAGTTAAAAATGTATAAAAATAAATATTGATTGAAAGTATATTTGTTTTAAACACAAAAATAATTTTAACAGTAACAAGAAATTGGAACTTGGCAGATAAAAAGACAAAAAATATTTTGGGCATAAGTGTTAGAATTATTTTACATATTGCTTCTAGACTTCAACTATAATCAATATAATGTAGTAAGGCTTTCAAATTCATATCCAAATGCATATTTAATAATATTAATACATATACTATAATATATAACATTATTTAGTATGAATTGATGGTATAAAAATGGTAGAAGAAGGAATTAATCAATGAATTATGAGTTAAGTACCAGAACTAACCTGATTGACTAAATATAATTTATTAAGGTGTTTGTAAATGTTAATATTACTGCCACCAACTTGTCTACTACTTTTTTTATTGTCACCAACTACCTATTATTCAAATGGTATATTTCTAAGCTATAGATGTCATTTTTGTCTTTGAGACTTAAAATGATTCTCAACCAACTTTTCCTAAGAATTTCCTTGTTCTGTATATCTATATTCTAAAAATATTTTCTTTTTAAATATTTTCCAACATTTAATTATGAAATTTAAGTTATATTTATTAGGGTGATATTGATTAATAACATTATATAAGTTTCAAGTGTACATCCTATAATACATCGTCTGTATATTGCATTGTATGATCACTACCCAAAGTCTAGTATCTTTCTGTTACCATATGTTTGTCCCTCTGTTCTCAGGTAACCACCATACTATTGTCTGTGTCCATGAGCTTGTTTTGCTTGTTTGTTTACTGCTTTCTGTTTCATATCTCACAGATGAATGAAGTCATATTGTTTTTATCCTTTTCCATTTGACTTATTTTGCTTAGTATAATACTCTCAAGATTCATCCATGTTGTTGCAAATGGCAGTATTTCATTCTTCCTTATGGCTGAATAGTATTCCATTGTATATATGTACCACATCTTCTTTATCCAATTATCCATCGTAAGACACATTATTTCCATGTCTTGGCTACCATGAATAATGTTGCAGTGAACATAGGGATACGTTTATCTCTAAAGATATTTTCTACTTGAGGCATGGAATTTACAATATTAGATGTAAATATTAAATGATAAAACCTGGAAGATCAGCGCCATATCTCATAGTATGCCTTTCCAAATACAGGGAGTATTCAAGAGCAAAGAAAAGAGCCAAGATTATCAACTGAGGTCCAGAAGAGGAAGAGACTTATATCCAGGAAGGAGAGAAACTCCCTAGAGGCTGGTAAGAAGGGTGAGGTGGTGAGAGGGGCTGACCTCCTCACAGGCGTCAGGCCCAGAGTGAGGAGGGAACTCTTGGCTACGGGAAGATCTTTTCCTTCAGAAGTTTGAGGCCTAGAACCCAGGCTGGGCACCATATTCATCTGTGAGATATGAAACCAGAGCTGAGACCAGCAGCGCACATTACATCCAGCCGTGAAAGGTGGCAGGGTTGTTTGCCACCAGGTAGCCTGCCTGGAGCCAGTAGACTGGAGCTGGTTGGAGAGAAAACCTCAGTTTCTGGTTTTTGTTTGTGTGGGGTTTTTTTTAACCCAGGACACGGGAGTTTCATTTGCAGCTACTCACCTGAGGCTTTGGTGTAGGGAAGTCAGTCGGTGCGGGCTCGAGGTGCCTACGGAGAGGCTGGGGCAGGAAGCATTGGAGGAAGATGTGGAAAAGCAGCAGCTGGGAGTCCTGGATTCAGCTGTATACCTCCACACTGAAATGGTCATTTTTCCTGAGTGGAGCTAGCCACTCCCAGAAGCCACAGCTCAGGAAAAGGAGAAAACCCTGCCCTAAGTAATACAGACCACCACACCCTCAGGAGCCCTGCCTGCCCACCCTGCATCTTGACCTTTGCAAAGGATTCAGGCATAGAGGCCAAGCCTGCCGATTTGATCAGTCTCAGGGAGAGTCTGAGTTGGGGGTGGGTCTGTCCTGCCCCACTATCCTGGGAACCTGGCTAGTGCCTCCCTTGCACCAGGAGAGCTGATAGAAACTCCAGGTTTCCAACTGATCCCACTAGACTGCATATGAGGATCTCCACCCAGTCGAGGGCAGAGTAATATTCTGGGCCACTCACAGAGGAGTAGCTCAGGGAAGGGAAACTCACCCACCCCTTCCCCGGAAATCCGAATAGCATCTCCCCCTCATGGAGACACACAGGTCTAGACTCCAGATTCTATCTAAAGCCCTTTCAGAAACAGACTTTTGAGTGATTAAGATTGACAGCTGGCTGGCAAGTGAAGACCTCTGAGGCAGAGCCCAGGGAACCTGGGGAAGCTTACTGACCCAGCCCAGGTCCCTATGTTTAGAGGGTAGCTGGGCCCCTCCCACATGCAGTCAAGTCCTGTGGAGACAGCCACAAACTGTTGATCACTTGGAGCTTCAAGCAGGTTGCTGGAAACCAAAGGAGGGTAGTTTCTGACAGTGGTTAGTAGCACCCATGTACCTCATGGGAAGCCCAGAATTGGCAGACGGAACAGTCAGTCACAGTCATCAGAAAAGCAGGATCCAAATGGAGCTCCCATGAAGCACTAAACTCTGCTGAGACAAATGCCATTTCACTGTATTCTTTCCTTTTTCATTCTTCCCTTTCTTTTTTTTCATTTATCTTCATCCCTCTGCTTCATTGATCTGTTATTATTCTAATCTCTACTGTTTTGTTCATATATCTAATTTATCTCTCCCATTTTCCTACTCATTTTTTTCTTTGTCACCTACTTTCTCATATATATTTTTTCCCTTTTCTTATTTTGGGTCTATTTGCTTTCTCCTCTATTCTCCTTTATAAATGTTTTCTTCCTCTTTTATTTTAAACTGTTTTCCTTCCCCTATTCCCCTATTCTTTGTTCTTATTTTCTTTATTTTATCTCTGCCCCTTCATATTCTTTTTTCACCCCCCACCCCCACCCCCCCCCCCGCCCATACCAGTTTGGTTTTGGCTTGCTTTTTTTCTCCTCATATTTTCTTTCTTTTCTATAATTCTTGCTCTCTTTTCTCTTTCCTAATTTTCTCCTCTCTGGTGGTTATTTTTGTTGTCGTAGGGGTCTTGTTTATGTTTTGGTTTTGTTTCTTTGTTTCGTGTTTTGTTGTGCTGTATTTGTTCTGTTCTGTCAGCACCTCCACAATAGCTCTCATGACATGATTGGGGATGAGCCTCACAGTCAGCCAGCCTGAGAGAAGATCCCATCCACAAACAAGACAACAACATTCAAGATCCAATTAAAACAGGAGAACCCACAGAACACAAACAAGGGGCATTTCTAGAGTACCCAACTCAGGAGATCTAAGAGACTGCACTACCAGGTTCCACAAAGCATCTACTACATTATACCACTCCACAAAGTCTGGGAGGCACAGCAGTTTGATCTAATATATAGAAAGAAACACAAAGGAACAGTAAAAATGTTGAGACAAAGATACAACCCCCAAGTAAAGAAAAGGAGGAATCTCCAGAAAAGAAACTAAATGAAATGGAAGCAAGCAATTTGCCAGACGAAAAATTCAAACTAATGGTTATAAGAATACTCAAACAACTTAGTGATAACTACAAGCCAACTAATGAGAACATTATGGAACTTAATGAGAACTATAGCAGCATAAAGAAAAAAGTAGAAACCATCAATGAGAATCAAGCACAAATGAAAAATGACAATTGAATTAAAAATACCCTGGAAGAAAACAACCATAGACTAGTAGAAGCAGAAGACCAGATCAGCGAATTAGAAGACAATTGGAAAACAAAAAAACAAAAAAACAATTTTAAAGCAGGAGGAGAATATAAGAGAGCTGTGGAACAACATGAAATGTAACAGCATTTGCATTATAGGGATACTAGAAGGAGAAGAATCTGAGCAAGGAATAGAGAACCTATTTGAAGAAATAATGGCAGAAAATTTTCCTAACCTGGTGAAGGAAAAAAATCACTCAAGTTGAGGAGACACAGAGAGTCCCAATCAAGAAGAACTTCAAAAAACCCATACCCAGGACCATCATAATTAAAATGGCAATCATTAAAGACAAAGCAAGAATCTTAAAGGCTGCAATATAGAGACAAACTCCTGCAAGGGAGTTCCCAATAAACTGTCAGCTGAATTCTCAATAGAAACACTTCAGGCCAAAAGGGAGTGGTATGGCACATTGTGGTGCAGGCTCAGGGTCGTTGCAGGGCTGCGGGCGCTGCGAGTCACATGGGTGCGGCGTTTCCTGTTCTTTCCCCCCCGGGGAGCTGTGGCTCATGCCTTGCCTACCCAGCCCGACCATGGCTTCAGCTGTGGAGGAGCTACAGAAAAATCTTGAAGAAGTAAAGGTGCTGCTGGAAAAGGCCACTAGAAAGAGAGTACGTGATGCTCTTATGGCTGAAAAATCCAAGATTGAGACCGAAGTCAAGAACAAGATGCAACAGAAATCACCAAGGAAAGCGGAACTTGACAATGAAAAGCCAGCTGCAGTGGTTGCTCCCATTACTACGGGATATACAGTGAAAATCAGTAATTATGGGTGGGATCAGTCAGATAAGTTTGTGAAAATCTATATTACCTTAACTGGAGTCCAGCACGTCCCCACGGAGAATGTGCAGGTGCACTTCACAGAGAGGTCATTTGATCTTTTGGTAAAGAATCTAAATGGGAAGAATTACTCCATGATTGTGAACAATCTCTTGAAACCCATCTCTGTGGAAGGCAGTTCAAAAAAAGTCAAGACAGATACAGTCATTATCTTATGTAGAAAGAAAGCGGAAAACACACGGTGGGAATACCTGACTCAAGTTGAAAAAGAGCGCAAAGAGAAAGAAAAGCCCTCCTATGACACTGAAACAGATCCTAGTGAGGGACTGATGAATGTTCTAAAGAAAAATTTATGAAGATGGAGATGATGATATGAAGTGAACCATTAATAAAGCCTGGGTACAATCAAGAGAGAAGCAAGCCAAAGGAGAGACAGAATTCTGAGACTTTAAAGTTCTTTCGGGAATTGTGATGTGGAAATAATGATGTTTCCAATAAGGACATGTTGGTGAGCTGCAGATACATTTAACAGATAATTTCACAGAGCCTTCTTCTAAGTAAAGGCAATGAATTCTCCTGCTGGAGGATTTATTTAAATAAAATATGCTTATTAAACAGTTCCTCTAAAGATGGTTTCCTTAGTAAACTGGTCATTTTGTTCAAGAACGATTAATGTTTGCATTCTCATATGAAATGTAAAGAAGCAAGTCTTGCCTAATGAAAATGCCATATTGTGTGTATTTTTGTTCAGCTAGGAGGTAGGGGAAAATGTTACCGCTTGTTAAGTTCTTGACATCAGTTCTCACCAATGTAAGAACAAGTAAATAAAACTTGAATTTTTTCAGAAAAAAAAAAGGGGGAGTGATATGAGGTATACAAAGTAATGAAAAGGAAGGAACTGAATCCAAGACTACTCTATCCAGCAAGGCTATCATTCAAAATGGAATGTAAAATAAAAACCAAAAAAAGGCTAAAAGAGTTTATTACCACCAAACCAGCACTGCAAGAAATGTTAAAGGGGCAGCTATAAGATGAAGAAATAGAGCAAGAGAGAGAGGCACACAAGCATAAAGAATTAAAATGGCAACAAATAAGTACCTATCAATAATAACCTTAAATGTAAATGAATTAAATTGTCCAATAAAAACACATAGTGTAGATGAATGGATAAGAAAACATAACCCATATACACTGAGTGGCCAGATTATTATGACCACCTGACATTTGTAGGCAAATTAGCTATAATTTGGCACTGAAGTTGCTAGAGGGCCAGACCATTATAAATAGGGAAGCAGGTTGTTTACCATGACAGTGGAAGTGGTTTTTCTCTGAAGATATGGGTAAACAACACGATTTAACAGCCTTTGAACGTGGGATATATATATACACATACACACATACATACACTGAGTGGCCAGATTATTATGACCACCCATCACACCCCATCAGTACTTCGTTGGGACAACTTTTGCCTTCAATACTGCGGCGATTCTTCTTGGCATTGACTCCACAAGATGTTGAAAGGTGAGGCGAGGAATCTGACACCATGCCTGATGAATAGCACTGTCCAGTTCTGTGAGATTTGATGGTTGTGGAACCAGCTGCCTGATGGCTCTTTTAACTTCGTCCCACAAATACTCAATTGGATTGAGATCTGGTGATTGTGGGGGCCACCTAAGCAAGGTAAAGTCTCCCTCATGTTCTTGAAACCACTCCTGCAAAATATGAGCACTGTGGCATGGCACATTGTCTTGTTGGAAGAAGCCATCTCCATTGGGATACGTCATCAAAATGATAGGATCAACTTGATTAGCAATGATACTTAGGTATGTCATGCTATTCAGATGTTGTTCCACATGAATTAAAGAGCCCAAATCATGCCAGGAAAGCATGCCCCAAACCATAACACTGCCCCCATCAGCTTGAAGGGTTGTACCCATGCATATAGGGTGCATGCTTTCATGCTGTTTCTGCCAAATTCTCACTCTGCCATCTGCATGATGCAACTGGAAATGTGATTTGTCGGACCACATGACTTTTTTCCAATGCTCTACTGTCCAATCCTTGTGTTCCTATGTGAATTGGAGACGTTTTATCTTGGTAACTGCAGACAACAAAGGTGTTCATACAGGCCTTCGGCTTCCATATCCCATATGATGCAGTGTACTGCTAATTTGCCTACAAATGTCAGGTGGTCATAATAATCTGGCCACTCAGTGTATATACTGCCTACAAGAGACCAACCTCAAAACAAAAGACTCTCACAGAATGAGAGTGTAGGGATGAAAAAAAAAAATTCATGCAAATGAGAATGAAAAAGAAAAGCTGAGGTAGCAATATTCATAATTGATACTTAGAGCACTTCAAAGTATGAAGCATGAGACAAGAATGCTTTCTAGCCGAAACCGGTTTGGCTCAGTGGATAGAGCGTCGGCCTGCGGACTGAAAGGTCCCAGGTTCGATTCCGGTCAAGGGCATGTACCTGGGTTGCGGGCATATCCCCAGTAGGAGATGTGCAGGAGGCAGCTGATCGATGTTTCTCTCTCATCGTTGTTTCTAACTCTCTATCTCTCTCCCTTCCTCTCTGTAAAAAATCAATAAAATATATTTAAAAAAAAAAAAAAAGAATGCTTTCTAGTATGTGTTGTTATTCAGTTGTTGGGCCATGAGTTAGACTCCACCAGACTCTCTGAATCTTGCAGCTACTGATTTCTTCCCAGACATTAGCTTCCCTGTTGCTGCCCACTAATTTAAGAGGCACGATAAACCATATAAACCTTTATGGTGATGATAAAATATTGAGAGAGGTTTTAGTTATTGTAGATACAAGTAGGTATTAATTTTTAAATTTAGCAATGGTTCTGTTTTAGAAATGGCAAGATGTCATAATTTATTGTGTATGGGTTCATGCAAATTCATGGACATGTCAAGTGCACCCTTAATTGAGCTTGAAATGACATCCTTGTATATGAAAGATACCATATATTTATTTCTTTCAACTGGAGGAACCCCAACTTTGAAACCTGAGGGAATAAGTTGAGATTATAAAAGTAGGTTTATAAATTTCAGTGTGCAGAAATGTCACTGGACTTTAATCCTCTACCTATCATATTCCTGGCTAATTCAACTTCTTTAATGTGGGTTTCTCATCTTGAAATAAACAATCACATGGAAAAAAGTAGGTCATTGGAAGAACTACATTGTCAACTATTAAATTCTACACAAATGTAAGCTAGAAGGGGCCAAAAATAGTAATAATTTTATTATTTGTGCTTTTACATCAGTAATAATGAATTGAGAAAAGGCTTAATTTCCTTAAAGACATACTTAATGTAGAAAATATTTTTATTATGAAATATTTCAAACATTCAGAAAATACATAATTAACTGTTAGATTTTTGTCATGCATGATTCATAAAATAGTCAAGCACTGAAGCTAGAGTTGAAGCTTCCTGATAACCATATCTTTCCCTCCCTGATTTTAGTGTTCGTCAATCTTGCATATTTTTAAATATTTCCATAAACACATACACACATATATACTACATATATACATATATATAATTATGATATATAACACATATATAACATCATTAGGCATGTTTTCAAGCATTATATCAATGATAGTTGAATGCAATGTATACATACTTTTTCCCATAAATATTACATCTTAAAATTTAATTACAGTATTTTGCTATATGTAGCTTGAGTTCACTTATTTTGCCTGTTGTGTAGTATATTCCATTGAGTGAATATACTACAGTGTATTCATTCTCCTGTTGATGGGAACTTAGAATATTTTTAATTACTTACAGTCATAAACACAGCTGCTATAAACATCCCTGTATATTTCTCATAGTCATATGTGCAAGTGTTTCACTAGTAAATACCTACAAATGGAATCGCTGAGTCGCAGAGTATATACATCTTTAACTTTGCTAGATACTGTCAAATTGTGCTACTAAATGTTACACTAATTTACACTCATAGTAGTAGTTTATGAATTTGAATTGTTCCATATTCTTATTAACACTTGAGGTAGCCAAACTTTTGTTTTTTGCCAATCTGGTGGGTATGAAATTCTATCTCATTTTCATTTTGAAAATTCTTGGTACCTAGTGAAATAATTTTTTTATATTTATTCATCATTTTGGTTTTCTCTTCTGGAATAGTTTATTATTAGCAATTGATGGTTTTTATATTATTTTGTTGTTCTTTTTATTGATTTATAGGAATTTTTATAAGTTCAGGATATTAACCCTTTGTCAGTTATACATTTCACAGATAGCTTCTTACTGTCTTCAGTATGTCTTTTAACTTTGCTTTCCGTGTCTTTTGTTTAACCAAACATAAAATCATTGTATATAGTTATATTTTTCAATATTTTAATTTATGAATTATTCTTTTATTATCTTTTTTAGATAAATTTTCCTACTCTAAGCTTATAAAGATCATCCTACATTGTCTTTTCAAAATATTACCAATTTGATTTTCACACTTAGCTACTTTATGTAAACATCAGAATTTAGTTTTTGTATATGATATGCTTTTTTGGAGCCTAACTTTCCTTCTCTTTAGAACAGCCAATTATCCTATCACCATTAATGTCTCCCACCTCATGATGTGAAATGCTATCTCTGACATATGCCAAGCTCCCATGCCAGTATGGACTTTTTCTGGGCTCTTCATTCTCATTCTATGCAAGTAACCTGTCTTTTCTGCTCTAATACCAGAGTTTTAATTACTTTTGTTTTAAAATAAAACTTGATGACCAACAGACACATGAAAACATGCTCAACATCACTGAATCATAAGGGAAATGCAAATCAAAACAACAATAAGATTTCACCTCACACCTGTCATTGTAGCTATTATAAAAAAGTTAACATAGAATAAGTGTTGCCAACAATGTGGAGAAAAAAGAATCCTTGTGCACTTTTGGTGAGATTGCAAAGATGGTACATCCATTATGAAAAACTGTACAGCTATTTCTCAAAAAATTAAAAATAGAACAACCATATAACCCAGAAATCCCACCTCTGGGTATTTATTTGAAGAAATAACAAAACAATAATTTGAAAAGATGTATGTACCCCTATATTCACTGCAGCATTATTTACAATAGCCAAGATATGGAAACAACCTAAGTGTCCATCTATGGTTAAAGAAGTGATGCATGCGGAGAGCGCTGTCGGCTGAGGACACGATTATCTTTTTCAAACGGGAGAGAGTCTCAAGTTCTGAGCTCCAGTTCCGGGTGAGTCTCTGGGGACCCAGACTCATATGGGGAGAAACTGGACTGTCTGGCATCAGTCGGAACTCGAGAGCAGTTTTCTCTGGGAGGCGCTCGCAGCGATTGCCGGGGCCTCTGAAGGCAGGACTGAGAGCAGCCATACTGCTCCCTCAGCCTGCCTTGTTGATCCCCTGGGACCCCACCCTGCCCAAACCATGCAAGGAAGCTTTTGCATATGAAAGGCCCGGCCCTTTGTAATCTGAAAATTACTTAACAAACTGCAGCTGGCCCAAGGCCCCAGGGCAACCTGCATTGCTTTACAGCTGGCTTCTGCTGGGTAGCCTCAGGCAGAGGCTAGATTAGCACCTCCTTAGATCCAAGAACCAGTGTACCCAGTGGTCAGAGTGGGACCATCCAATTACAACTCCTCAGATCCATAAGGGACATACTCAGGGGCCAGACTCAGTGAGCACCAAAGCCCCACTGAAGCAAGTCTTGCCCCATAAGGGTGTCTTCAGCACAGAAGTTC